CCTTTTCCTTTATCTCACTTTTTCTTTTCCTTTTCTTTATAATTTGTATTTTCAACTTTCTTTTTCATTTCTAACTTTTAACTTTGTAATCTTAAAATCTTAATAAAATACTATTAAAAAAAAAAGAAAAGAACGCCTTTTGAAAGTGATTTTGAAAGCGAAGACAAAGTTGGCAAAATTCTCATGTGTTGCTTCCTGTATAAGGTGACTGAAAGACGTGTGGAAGGGTCTACTTTTCTTTGTTCTATTTATCTCCCTGACTTCCCACATTTCTATTGAATTCTAAGAGAAGACATCATAATAGGAGTCAGGAATATTAGGTATGTCCTCCACCTTGAGTTATATATAAAAAAGGCATTATTAGATAAAAATCTAACAACCAGGAGCAAAGAAACACAGGTAGCCAGGCAGCCCAGTGACTGATAACGTTGAGGAGGACGAGAAGAAGACGAAAACAACAGCATGCTTTGCTACTTTGCCATGTTCAGAAGAGTACTTCAAGACATTTTAAAGAAGTAGGATAATGTCCTGATAATGGAGTGAACAGACAAGTATTTTCTTCAGGGTGACACAACTTTTCAGAAACTAAACTGAGAAATTGGAAGAATAAATCCAGAAGACTGTACTTCTGGGTTGTTGCTAAGAAAGCCATATGAAATTTCCAGGAGCCAAGCTGGGCTTGAGGGAGACTTTACTTTTTTATATGCACATTTGAAAATAGTCATGCACAGGCAATTTAGATACCCCCTAGGCTTTTTTTTTTTTTTGACAGAAGCTCCATATGAAATTTCCAGGAGCCAAGCTGGGCTTGAGGGAGACTTTACTTTTTTATATGCACATTTGAAAATAGTCATGCACAGGCAATTTAGATACCCCCTAGGCTTTTTTTTTTTTTTGACAGAAGCTCCATATGAAATTTCCAGGAGCCAAGCTGGGCTTGAGGGAGACTTTACTTTTTTATATGCACATTTGAAAATAGTCATGCACAGGCAATTTAGATACCCCCTAGGCTTTTTTTTTTTTTTGACAGAAGCTGCTAAATGAAAGGTGTAAGGAATCCAAAAGAGTACAAGAAACTGGCTGATGCGACAACAGATGTGTCTTCAGCCTCTTTAGATGTGACCTGGTAGATGTTATGATAGCATAACACCAGTTATGAATTTAGAAAGACCATGATTCAGATCGTAACATCCCCCCTCCAATTTATTGATCTATAATCTTTCATTTGGATAAGATTAACTGAGGGGAAAATCATTTGTTTCTGGTTTTGTGCAAGTAAGAAATATAGAAATATGGAGATGTTAGAGGTCCTGGATCTTCCAAGATAAGAATATGAAAGCGCTTGAAACTTTCTTTTTCCCTACCCACACTTCATCTCTTTCCAAAAATTTTCAGAACATAGCCTTTAAAAGAAATAATTGAGTTTGGCATTACTGAAAACCATTTTTTTTTGGGGGGGGGAGATATCTTGAGATTATGGCTTTTTTCAGAGTGAAGTCCTTTTCATCTGGTCAGAGACCATGTCCATATCTTCATGCCGTTGTTCTTGTATAACTTGCTCATTATCTGAAGGCTCTGGTCCCGAGTCCTTTGCAAAGATGGGTCTAATCTGATTCTGATGGTGTGAGCATTCACCTGATTTTGTCAGCATGGACTCTGAAATGGATTTTGGTTCCTGCATCCAAGCATGCATGAGAACCTCATCGATGCATAGCCGACGGGACACGTCAGGCTGAAGCATATGGTAGATGAGGTCCTTGCAGTCCACCGATAGCACTTTGGACCGGGGAAAGTGCACCCTATGTTCCTTCTGCAGCTTGAGCATTTTTTTAATGTTTGAGTCATCGTAAGGCATGGAGCCACAGACCATGATAAACAGCACGACACCCATACTCCAGATGTCATAGACCTTGGGCTGGTAGGGTATGCCCTGTAGCACTTCAGGAGCTGCATAGGCCGCAGACCCACAGAAGGTTTTGCTGAGAATTACCCGTCCATCATCATCACGAGACAGGCGTTTGGAAAACCCAAAATCTGTCAATTTGATGTTGTATTCTTTGTCCAGAAGGAGGTTCTCACATTTCAAGTCCCGGTGGACAATGTCCAACTCGTGGCAATATTTAATGGCACTGGCTAATTGGTGGAACATTTTGCGGGCGATTTCTTCAGGAATGGCTCCTTTCCTCTTAATAAACTCCAGCAAGTCTCCCTGGACTCCGAGTTCAGTTACAATATACACTTTCCCTTCAGAGGTCTCAAAGATTTCATAGGTCTTGACGATAGCATGATGCTTCACTCTTGCCAGCATCTCAATCTCTCGAGGGAGAAACCTCTCCAGGAAGTCTCGGGGAGCTTTTTTCTTATCTATGATCTTTACTGCAACATTACACTTCAGCCGTTCTGAATAGGCAGATTTCACTTTCGCATACGAGCCTTCTCCAAGATTGATACCCATGATATAGCCTCTCTTTTTAAGCACTTCTGCATCATCCATAGTCTCTTGAGGCAACCCTGAGCTTCAGGTTGACAGGGCATCACATACCTTAGCTGCCCCCTTTCCCTCCAGGAAATGAATGTCCTTGAGGCACATTTCAGGACGGTGTTCTGAAATGACCTGGTTTCTCTCCTTGGGTTGAATGCAGCAGAACTCTCAGCATCCTTCCGTGATGTCACAAAGCAGAGCCATTTTTGGTGCTGACTGAAGATACACTAGATAGCTTGGGAGCAAACATAGATGACTTGGTGGACAAGGGATGACATTCCTACGTGGATCAATCAATTCTCCTTGACAACTAGAGTACGTATCTATAGACATGGATCCTTTTGCTACCCTCTGTCCTCTGCATATCCAGATTTTGTTTTAGGACTGTGCAGTTGGGTGGTGGGGAGACCAAGCTACTCACGATCCACCATAACCTTGCTTTTGTTTCATTTTTTAAAGTTTTAGTTGAGGTTGGGTTGGGGCATGAAATTGGCTTGATGTTAAAAAGAATGAGGTATCTATTGTTGTTGACTGATACAGTGGGTGATGCCAGAGAAACAACCAGCTCAGTTGTGTTTTAGAAATTGGAACCAAAATTTTGCTGAGGGCTACAGATCGCCTATACTCGGTTTAAAGCATCACATTCAAGGAACTAGAAGGAATGAAATAAAAATCAAAAACAGTAACCGAAAACAAGGGCCTAACCCCAATGAGTTGAAATATTTTGATATTACCCAAACGGAATAGATTTTAAGACTTCTTTTTAATAGGTAGGTAAGATGTAACTGAGCTTGGAAAAGGTTGGTATGGCTTTCCAAATTCAACCACTTCTTACTTTTTTCTTTTTCTTTTTTAAATCTTAATAACTGGTTATATACTTTCATTCTGTTGTCTTCCTCAGCAACCCAGTCTTTGCTATGCTCACTTGATTGGTGTTTTTACCGTTTGGTACATTAAGGTTCTTTTTCACTGAGGTGGTGCAAAATGTTATTGCATTTGCGTTTGTATTCACTTATAAATTGCACTGGGGATTTTGGTGAATCGAGGAGCGGAGTTTGAATTGAAAAAGAATCAGTAAAGGAAAAAAAAAAGTCCAGATTTTGCTCTGAAGAGAACTGTCCGCGGTACTGACCCTTTATTCTCCGCCAGCTTCTTCTTTTTATTTTTTATTTATTATAAATTGCAAGTAGGAAGAGACCAGGAAGAGAATTTAGATAATCAGTTAGTTTCCTAAAAAGACGATCTGTGCTTTGCTCAGTTTTACATACAGAAGATTAATTTATAGTAGTGTTTATAGTGGTTAATTTGACTTGGTGCTAGCTGTGAGAATTACGTCGCTTGGCTCTTTTCTCTAGTGCTCCATAAATGCAGTGTTTATGCGGTGTTTGTGTGTGTTAAGGAGTTTGTTTCTTGAATTCATCAAAGACAAATCTAGCAGGATTTTTTTTTTCTAAGTTTCCAGAGCGTAGCTGTCTTTTTCTGTCACAACAAAAGCAACAGGAGAATCTGGTAGAGTAAAATTTGTAGCAACATCCCCTCTTGTTGGCCAAGGAGACACCATCCTAAGAGAATACTGCTGAAATAGAAAGGACGTGAACCAAGGTACGATGGGATGGATCTGAACATTCAGCTTGTGAGGCTGAGATTTCTCTTTTGCCTCTGAATTAGTTCGTGACATCTGCCCTTAGCATTTCTAAATATGGTCATGAAATTCTTTAGATGGAACAGAAAGGGCAGAGTTGTCACCAGCGATGAACACAGATAGATCATGTTCTGACTTAGTGTAAGGCCATTCTCTGTCCTGATCAAGAGGGGGGATTAAAGATTGTGAGTGTTTATCGCCAAAGATATCAGCTTCATGTACGGCTGCTGCAAAAACGATAAACCTGATAGCCTGTATTATTGAGAAAGGAAATTAAGATGAAACTGTACAAGGAACTATTATAACCACCATTGGAATCCTCTGCACAGTTATGGTTGCTACTTCTAAAAAATATACATGAGCAAGCCTTGGCAGCTAGATTTACAACCTCTTGATGCTTCTACCCCCAAGAGGCTGATATTACATTCCAAAAAGGACATTTGGAATGGGGAAAAGTGTAGGAAAAGCAACCAAAAGGATCGGAGCACATCTCCTGTGAGAAAATATTTTGAACAAGGCTGTGGCTGCGCTCGTCCTATGGAACAGCATATCCCTCTGAGATTCAGATGCCCCCGACCCTAATGGCCTTTTGTGAGGAGTTAAAAACTTGGCTTCCTCTCCCCAAAACTGGGCCATCAAACTAGGTGATCCCATTTTCCAGGGGGTTACTGATATGGATATGTCTGTTTCCCCCAGGCATGATGTTTTTAGTTTTTGTTAAATGTTTTTATTGTTTTTAACTTGCTGTTCACTACCCAGGTTGTATGTTGAGTGGGCAGCCATTCAAATTGAATTATTTATTCATTTATTTAAATGTATTGGCTGCCCAACTCCGGTGGACTCTGGGCAGTGTACAAAACCAGAGAAAACAGACATCTTGAGATGTGATGTTAAGACCAGATTCCTGAAGGAGAAAGACAATATACTGATCCTCTGTAGAGCTCTGGGCAGGTATGATTCTCCCTTCAAGTTGCAGAAAAATTCAAAATGGAAAGGCACATTGTGTTCACACATCCTGATTGTCATGGTAGAAAAATTATGTTGGAGCCATTTTTGTCTTAGAGCAGTAACTCTTCGTTTTTTCCATGTCAGGTCTGTGAATCTACACTTTTGTAACAAACACAGTAGAACAGAGGAACGAATATCCAAAAAACAACCCTGACCCAATAATTTCCTTTTCTTAAGGTCCCTTTCAAGGAGAACACACCCAGTTGGAACAGGCGTTGCATACCAATTAGACACTGCATCTCCTTGATGGTACATCAAAGCTTTGATAAACAAACCTGTTTTGGGACTATTCTTTTTAAGGAAATCAGCCATTCCATCTCTGAGTGTTGCAGAGAGCCCTTGGGAGCAAAGCTTTGAAACATCCACTGTCCTAGATAATGAGGAGCATTGCTGTGCCTTTGCTAAGGTTCTGAATCTTCCCTGTTAAAGGTGACATTTCTTCTCCATTAAGTTTTGCAAACTTATTTGGAAGGGGCCTTGGATTAAAGTTAGAACCATACTAAACTTAGTATGTTCTAAACCATGCGTGCACACACAGAGTGGCTTGTCATGGATTTCTGGATTCTCCAAAACCCAATAGCACTAAGACTTGGAGGAGAATCTAATGAATGCAATATGGTGCGTTAGTTAGAAGACTCAACTTTGGCCAAGCAAATTTGTCATTCTGATCCTGACTCAGTTGTGCACACAAGAAAATGACCTGGGTCATTCACTGCAGCATTCCTGATTTTTGAGGGTTGCTATGAAGATGGAAGGGCTACGTTTGCCTACTTAGAGTTCCTTGCAGGATGAGTAAAGAAAAAGGAAATGTTATTACAACAAACAGGAAGGGAGCAAACCAGAGTTCAGTATATCCTTCCTTCAGACTGGAAGTTCCCTCTCCCTCCAAGCTTCCACCCCCATGGTAGAGAGGGAGACCCCCCCCCCAAATAAATTACCATTTTGGGTCAGAGAAAGCATAGAGATTTGGTTTTAGTTCTTCCATTGTGGACATGGACCAAGTCACTAAGGTGATCTCCTGTAATCATAAGGAAATTAAGTTATGCAGAATGGGTGCATTGGATAGCAAGGGTATGCCAGTGCTTTAAGATAGGCTGGTTTACAGTTGGATGTTGGCAGTGTCTTTTCATTGATGAGTGTGATCTAAAGAACTGTCACTTGTACTATATTCTGTAGAATAGAAGGCTGAGGACGGGAAAGAATGCTGCTTTCTGTATACGATTGTTTGCAATGGTTCAGGGGATTTTGAAGTGAGAATTAAGGGCCAGCTGCCTGTGTGAGATGGGAGACTGAAACCCCTTTTTTGTTCTACCTACCTGTTGTGTAGGTAGAGCCCCTTTCCTTGACTGGGCTGGGTCCAATGGCCCTCTGACTGCTCCTCTTCCCGAACTGTCATTTCCTCATTATGCCACTTGGTCACACTACGATTGGCTTCACACATTGTGCTAAGCCATGGCTTGTGAACCGTAGAGTTTTAAATACAACTTAGCATGCTAAACTGGAAGCTATACTTTACAAACCACAGTGGCTCGGTACACACAACAGCCTTGGCCCCAAAATAAGCAACCAGTCCCAGGATGGCTTAGCTGAAGTTCCAACCAGCAAGAGCTGGCATCCATGCTTATTTCTTTTGCTTTGTCCTTACCCCCATGTTATTTTGGGGGGCATCTCCAGATGTTGGAAAGCAGTTCCTGTCATCTCTGAGCATGAATCATGTTAGCCAGGATTAATGAGGTTGCTGCTCCAAGAGCACTTGGAAGCCCCCCAATATTTTACCCATTTTATATCCTGTTTCTTAGATCACCAACCATTGTTTTATAAAGCAAACTGCTGGAATGATTTGATTGCAACAGGGCATCAGCATATGCAAACAGATAAATATGAAATAAATAGGGAATTATGTAATAAGAACAGTGCAGTGCTGTTCAAGGAAAAGACTTTCAGATTTACTGCGTTCTGCAAAGCAATAAGTACTCCTGATAACATTTTATGTTTTCACTTTACCATCTGGCTAGTCTCGCAATTTGAATGACTTCAGGTGCTTTCCTTGCACCCAAGGGTGGTTTAGAACCTCTTCAATCCGTAGTCGGTGAGAAACATCAGGCTGAAGCATGCGGAAAATAAGGTCTTTGCATTCAAGACTCAGAAACTCGGGGAAGAGGATCCGATGTTCCTTCTGCAAGCGGAGCATCCGTTTGACGTTGGAATCATCATAAGGCATGAATCCAGAAACCATGACATACAGGATCACGCCTAAGCTCCACATGTCATAAACTTTGGGATGATAAGGAATGCCCTGGATCACTTCTGGAGCAGCATACGCTGCAGAGCCACAAAATGTCTCGCTGGGCACGATTTTGCCATTCCCATCTCGAAAACACCGTTTGGAAAAGCCAAAGTCTGACAGTTTGACATTCATGTCTTTGTCAAGAAGGACATTATCACATTTCAGGTCGCGGTGCACCACATCTAAGTCATGGCAGTATTTGACGGCACAACACAGCTGACGAAACATCCGGCAGGCCACTTCTTCGGGCAGCCCCCGGTTGCTCTTAATAAACTCTAATAAATCCCCCTGAACACCAAGCTCCATCACAATGTAGACTTTTCCAGCAGTCTCAAAGATCTCGTAGATTTTGATGATGGAGCAGTGATTCACGGTTGACAAGATCTCCAACTCCCGAGGTAGAAATTTCTCCAGGAACTCATTTGGAACTTTCCGCCTATCTGTGATTTTCACAGCCACATTAAATTTCAGACGCTCCGAGTAAGCAGATTTCACTTTGGCAAAGGAACTCTCACCCAGGGTATTCCCCAGAACATAACCTTTTTTCTTAAGCACAGCACCATCGTCCATGGTGCCAAGGGTGGGCGTGCCAACCTCCCATCTGAACTGTCGTTTAGTGGCACATTCCTTTGGGTGTGGAGAGGACCATCTCAAGGGGCTCGAGGCTAGGCTGGTGTTAGGGCTCCCAGCAGTGTTTTGAAGAGCTGATGTCATCAGATGACATCATAAGGCAACACTGGAAGGAGCCTGGGTATGTTATTTAGGGACTTGAATAGGAAAATACACAATGATGGCACATGGTCATCCATGAAATAATTGGAACCGACTGCCTTGTCAGAAAAATATCAGGATCATTCTGGAAGGTGATGTATCTTTTGGTTTCACTGCACTTCACCTGAAGAAGATGAGAAGAAGCTGGTGATTCCTACTGGGCTCCAGAAAGCAGAGGTTCTAATCTTTCTAAGCCTTTTGCTCTCCAGGTACTTGGTCTCCAAGAATCCCACTCATTATAGCCTGACTACTCTGAATTGGAAAAGATATGTTATGCTGTTAACAACCTCTGGCTGCATTTTAGCTGGGGGGGGGGGCAGGAATTGAGGTCGCCAAGTGATTTTTTTTTAAATTATGGAGCTTATTTCCATAACAACCATATACATTTAAGCACTGGTGCCTTGGATCCTTGATTTCCTTGGTCTTATTCCCTCCCCCTCTTTTTTCCCCCCTTTTGTGTTGTGCCCTTTTTCCTTTGTAAGTATGAAGACAGAAAAATTAAACTGCTCTCAAAGTCTTTCGGGTTGGAGAACAGGGTCATAAGGAGTGGGTAACCTGGTGCCTTCCAGATGTTCAGCTCCCACAATGTCCTGTCCATGAACTACACCCGGTGGGGTTTCTCAGAATTGTAATACAAAACATCTGGAGGGCATCAAGTTGCCTACTACAACATAAATCGAATCTAAATCCATAAATTTCAAGTAATTAAATTGTTTCACATGCTGTCTGGGAAAAATTGGTGGCCACCAAAAAATAGAAGACCAGGAGTGGCTTCCATATTTCCTTCCTATCTCCAGACTGATACTCTGAACAGAGTCGTCTTTGGCAGCAAAATGGTTGCCACCAAGGCAGTTTTATTGTCATGGCTGTTGGAAACCTCAGCAGTGAAAGAGAAATGTAGGACCTGAAAATGATGACTGAAACAAAAAATGGTTTTAGCCAGCATATAGTGAAACGAAACATTTCATGCAGAAGATGAACGAAATTTCAGTGGTGGAGTAATTTGCTTAACAGTCATTCATCCAGACTCAGGAATTCTGGAAATTTGTGGATGGCTTTAAGATGACGAGAGAGAGAAGTACGTTGCAAAAGCATGCTGGGCAGCAGGGCAGTTCTGTTAGTTTTTATTTTCCAAAGGAGCTAATTTATCTTTTGTTTCCTTACTTGGGACAAGAAGAAATCCCCCAAACCTGTTTCCATCCACCGAATGAGAAGTGTGTTAGGAAAGGGAAGTCAGTGAAAACTCTCAGCTCTTCTAACCATAAATAAAAATATGTAAGCCGATGTCTGCTCAGGAACTGGGGAGGGAAACAAGTATAAAAAGGAACATTATTAACGAAATAACCTTAATACATGATCTGAGCCTTGGGCTTTGGATCCTGCCTTGTAAAGATCTGGTGTTTCCTTTGTCATGTTGCTGATCCATCACTTTCTTTGTTGTGTTGGTATCTCTGTTTAAGGCTTATACATCAGCCCGCTTTATCAGGGACATGTTATTTCTCCTTGAAACTTAGCGCTGGACCGACACCTAGACTTGGGTGTTGGCAGCTTTATTATGCCGGTTTTCATCGTCGCTACGCAGTGCAGCAGACGGCAAGGAATTCAGAGGACAGTTGCAAACCTCTGGCGGGTTCCAGCTTGCCTATGTCTGCGGTGAGCTCAAATAAGTTTGCTAGGGCCCCCTGAGCGAGGAAGGGGCCACGCTCCCTTCACCCCCATTGGAATTGGCCCTGGCATGAATTGATTTCTGACCTCTTTTGAACAGAAGCGGTGATAAGAACAGGTTTGTGTGTTGTGTTCTGCGGACCCTTTTTTCATGGGGGGGTGGCTGAAAAAACTCGCACTGCGGCGTTTCGTGTTATCATCGGGCTTATAAGGCAAAGAGAAGGCGATTTGGACCCATGTAACGTGTGATGGGCATAACAGGTGATAGGGAGTCGTAGTCGGGCACTTGTGGAGGGCATCAAGTCGGCAGGCTGCCTTAGACCAGTCCAGGCTGGCTGGTTGGGGGCACCCCTTAAAAATGAGTGGGGCTTCAGTCACGTGATGGTGGTCACCATCTTGAGCTAATGGGAGTTTCAGTGCCCCAACGGTGGGGAGATGTCAATGTTCCCATTCGCGAAGCACACTCAGGGCTTGCAGTCTACCCCGTTCCCGTTATTTCGGGTTAGGTCCGCGCTGAGCACGCTCTCGTTCCGCTCTGCAGAGGACGCATCCCGCTGCCCCGACCCTGCCCGCTCGCCCCGGCGTGTCTAGGTCGGAGCTGCTCCCCCGAAAGGGCCTTCGAGGCTTGCTTTTCCACGCTCTCCGTCTCTTTTAATAAGGGTCCCCGCCCGGAGCCGCCCCGGTCCGCTTTCCAAGAAAGCAAGTGGCTTCCCGCCGCTTGCTGCGCGGAGAACGGCAGGCGGACGGAGGTGTTTTCGGCGCCCACGTGGACGCCCAGGAAGCCGACCTCCTTCCGCGCCGGTGGCAGCTCCGGCCGGCCGCGTTCCGGGAGGCCCCGAAGGGC